TTGTGCACCAGGCCCCTAGTCTTAAATAAAATGAAATCTTGGTCAATCAGCTTTCCGGTAGTTAACATTCTTTTTTTTTGTTTGTTTTGTTTTTTTTGTTAATCCTCACCCGAGGATATTTTTCCATTGATTTTTTAGGGAGAGTGGAAGAGAGAGGGAAAGACAGAGAGAAACACATCGACTAGTTGTCTCCGACCAGGCCCAAGGAGCCTGCAACCAAGGCACGTGCACTTGACCGGGATCAAACCTGGGACCCTTTGGTCCACAGGCCCATGCTCTATCCACTAAGCTAAACCGACTAGGGCTAGTTAACATTCTTATCAAGCTGACACCATTTTTGGGAAATAGAAAAAAGACAACTCAAAGAAAAATAAGAAAATCCTCACATTTACTTAAAAAAAAAGTCTTCCCTCTGGGTTAGGCAATAGTTCTTAACACTTTTAGAGTCACAGAACCCTTTGGATAGCCTAGGAAAGCTGTCAAGACTCTTACTTATAAATGCACATAGAAAAAGTAAATTTGTATGTAACTTCTGGGATTTTGTGGAAACCAAAAACCTAGTTAGGGACTTTATATTAAGAACTTAGGTTTTTTAGATCGAAGAAATACTGCTTCTTGCTAAAAATCCCATTCTTCAGGGGTCAGACTGATTAAGGAACAATACTCAGACCAGCTAAGCTAAGTCTTTCAAAGGCTGAAGGGGGAGAATAGTGCTCCAGGCAGCTGCTCCTCTAGAATTCTCACATCCAGAAGGAAAAACTGTCAGCCCACCCCCGCACATTCAGTCCTCCCACAGCATTTGCAGAGGTGGGCTGCAGTACGCAGACCAAGCAAGTACAGGGGCGTGAAAGGCCATTTTGTACAACTAGGGTTTCCAAATAGTTAGGAAAATTGACATCATGAGTGACTTAATACTCAAGGAAATGAATTTGTAATTATAATATAGTTTAAAAATAATATACTTAATTTTTATTTATGGATTAATTTTAGAGGAGAAGGGAGAGAGATAGAGATAGAGATATCAATTTGTTGTTCCACTTATTTATGCATTCATTGTATGTGCCCTGACTGGGAATCAAACCCACAACCTTGGCATATTGGGATGATACTCTAAACAACTGAGCTACTCTGCTGGGGCCAAAAATAATATATTTTTAGAGGGAAGAAAGAGGTCAACTCATAACTGATGATTATAAAAGGATCATCTAGAAATCTTGAAGAACATTTCTTTGAGTAAACAGGAAGGGCCTATTCAGTGCTGAGCAGGATGGCTGAGAAAAGACCCTCCCTAGGTACCTGCCAGAATGGCATTATTGGTTGGTAGAGGCCAGCAGGCCATTCTTCACATAATTGCTGAAATAAAAAATCCATGAGCACCTGCTGTGTGCCAAGCACTTAGCCAGGCACTTTGGTACACAAAATTAGATGAGGTTCCTAATCTTGTGGAACTTCAATTCAAAGGAGAATGCATTAGTTAAATAAGCAATTATATAAACAGTTGCATGGTTACAGCTTTAATTGGTGACATAAAGGATGCTTTGAGAATTACATAAAGGGCATTTGATTTAATTAAGGACTATGGGGAAGTTTTTAAAAATACATTTGAACTGAGATCAGTAGAATATGTAGTTCCCTGCTAAAGATGGGTGTATTTGCTTTGTATTTCTACTATAACAAATTACCACAAACCCAGTGACTTAATACAATACAAGTTTATGATCTTATAGTTTTGGGTGTCAGAGGTCCAGAAAATAAGTGTGTTGACAGGGACATGTCCTTCTGGAAGCTTTAGGGAGGAGCCCATTTCCTTGCCTTTTCCAGCATCTAGAGATCACCTGCATCCGTTAGTTCATGCCCTTCCTTCATCTTCAAAGCATAGCATCTCCAGCACCGTCTCTGACTCTGACTCCCTTGCTTCCATTGTCACATTACCTCTCATTCTGACTCTCCTGCCTTCCTCTCATAAGGACCCCTGTGAGTACATTAGGCTCTCGTGGGTAGTACAGGACAGTCTTCCCATCTGAAGACCCTTAATCATCTCTAGAAAGCCCCTTCTGCCCCGTGAGGTAATATGTTCACAGATTCCAGGAATTAGGGCATGAGCATCTTGGGGAATGGGGCAGTATTCCGCCACATGTGAGAAAAGGATATAGTATTCCGGAAAATGAGAAAAGCACTACAAAAGCCTTGAAGGAAGGGAGCATGGAATGCTCTAGAAAATGGAGACGGCACTGTAGATAAAGTATGGAGTGATGGGAATTTGGAACAAGATAATGCGAGAGAGGTATTGAACCCCTCCCACGCAGGACCTTGCAGACCATTTGTGGGGTTTTGGATTTTTATCCTAAAAACAGAAAGAAGCCACTGAAGGGTTTGAAGCAGGACTTAGGATGACTTTATAAGACTTAAATTTTGCAAAGCTCACATTTGATGCCATGAGAAAAATGATAGAAAATGTGGGAAGAAGAGTAGATGTGGAAGGACTCAGTAAGAGATGTTGTAGTGATCCACTTGAGAGAGGATGAGCTTGGGCCAGGTAGTAGTGGTCGTAGTAGCGATG